AAATGACGTTACTTTGTTGTTCTTTGGGTATGGGATCCTTTGCCCGGGATAGTGCTGCGCGTAAGGAGGACGCCGGCTTGTGGACAATGCAGATGCCAAACCGGTTTAGTTGTCGGGCCATCACGTCAGAAATTCCTCGCATGTATGGCAGGGAAGAATATTTTCTCTGTGTCGCTTCTCCACTTGGACTCTCATCTTGTGGTTGCCTCTGACGTCTGAGACAGTTTTTCACGAAGCTAATCGAATATCCGTTAGATCGGAATAATTGGTCTAAGTAGGCTAGCTCTCTCTTAAGTAGATACTGGCTGCTACAGTACCGAAAGGCTCGGTGAAAAAGAGTTCGAACGCAGCTTTTTTTGTGGGCCGCAGGATGATTACTCCCGCAGTTGAGGATGATTTCGGCGCTGGAGTCTTTTCTGTGGACTCTGGTCGCGAGATTGCCATCAGTCAGTCTTTGTACACTGACGTCAAGAAAAGGGAGGATGTCCCCTGTTGCTTCTTCGCGCGTGAATTGTATGGCACAGAAAACACCGTTAAGACGCTGGTGCAGTCGTTCAACTTCGCAGTTTTTTATGACTACGAAGGTATCATCTACGTAGTGGAGCCACATTTTTTGGTCTGATGGCTTGAATAACAACTTCTTTTAGTCTTTGTAAGACTAGTTCGGCGAGTAGGCCCGATATCGGTGAACCCATGGGGGTGCCCTTGACCTGCTGGTAATACTTGCCATCGAATGGACAATAGTTCTTAAGACAAAGCCCAAGCATGTCTAAAACGTGCTCTGTTGGAATGCCAATCGGAGTTTCCTCTAGGCGTCGAGCTACGCTCTCAATGGCCAAGTTATGCGGTATTGAGGAAAACAGAGCAACTACATCAAACGATAAAATGCATTCATCAGGGCTTACATTAAGGCCTTGGATCCTCTGAAGAACAGCATGAGTGTTGTTGATGCTATACTGCCATCCATTCGTGAGATGCTTTAGGTGCTTGTACAGCCACTTGGCAAGGTTATATGTAGGCGATCCAATGAGCGGCACTATGATCCTCAACGGGGCACCTGCTTTGTGCACCTTTGGGAGGCCATAAGCACGTGCGATACGGGTGTCGTTGGGAGTCAGAAATTTGGAGTCCGCGGGGTTTATGAGCTTTTTACGAGTGAGCTCGTTCACCTTCTTCTTTATAGATGCGGCCTGCTTTTTCGTCGTATCCTCAGCAATTGGGGTATAGGCCTCTCTCTCATTAAAGGCCTGGTTGGCCTTATTGATATAGTCAGTCATGTCCATAATGACAGTAGCACCACCTTTGTCAGCAGATACAACAACGATACTGTCGTCTGACCTCAGGGATCGTAATCCCTTCTCCTCTTCCATCGGCAAGGTTTGCTGATGTCTTCTTTTCCGGAGGAGGCCGGTCGCACAGTTGCGTATGTCCGCACGAATGTCTTCAGGGATGGATGAGTTTAACAGGAGGGATTCCAGGTTCGCTAAGAAGTTTGTAGGCGCAGCATCGACATGACTGAACCGTATTCCTTTAGACAATAGGCTTGATTCGGCGGGTTTGAGAGCCCTTTTCGAAAGGTTGACAACTCTCGTCGATATGTTACTGTCATTGATAGGACGGAGGAGTGCTTGGAGCTTCTCTTGAAGATCGGCCCGCTTCTTCATACGAGCATGTTTGGCGGTGGCATTTATGCGAGGAATTTCTGACGTGATGGCCCGACAACTAAACCGGTTTGGCATCTGCATTGTCCACAAGCCGGCGTCCTCCTTACGCGCAGCACTATCCCGGGCAAAGGATCCCATACCCAAAGAACAACAAAGTAACGTCATTTACCGCATCCCGTGCGCTAACTGCCGTTGCGTTTATATTGGTCACCCGGGTTGACAACTTGGGACTCGCATTAATGAACACAAGTTAGCTATCCGCCGACGCGACCCCTTATCTCTCGTGTTTGCCCACGCTCTTGATTGTGACCACCGTTTCAATTGGGACGGTGCCGAAGTGGTCGCCATGGCTGACACTAAACATGCACGGGAATTCCTCGAAGCTTGGCACTCCGGTGCAGATAGCATTAACCGCCATGTTGACCTTGATGTCCACTACGAGGGTCTCCGATCACGGTGGACTGACTGGCGCCCACCTTAAGAACAACAACAGCTAATGCGTGCCCGGACATGCATGATCTCGCCGACACGCCATTCCTACCACCCTGCCCTACTCCCCCTCCCTCCTCCAACACGGTGAGCCACAGCTTGGACCCACAACACCTATCCTCACATCCCGCAGCCATCACAACACAATGCACACCTCCCCCTCACAAGGTCGTCTGCTTACCTCTCTGTCTGCGTCCTCAACCAGCAGTGTGACAATGCAACCTCTCACTTTTCACTTTGTCTGACGACGGGTTGGTGCAACCAGCTCGAAAATTTACGAGTAAAACTCTATTTCCGACGGACTTCCTTCTTTCATCTTATCATATCGTAATGCATACCACTTCAGTCATTCAACATATATATATATATATATATAATGGATTGGGAGCAGATATAAGGGAGAATGGAATGGTCATCTCTAGCTTCAAGGCTTCAATTTCAGTTGGGGTTGTAATGTTGATCATCCTGCGACATGATCCGATAACATTTCGAGTTCGGTAGTATCTCGGCTTTTGAATGTAGTTCATTGAAACCTCCAGTAGAAAGCGTACTCGGTTGGAATAACTACTTGAATAGCATACACACTCAGCATTGATTTTTGATTATCTTAAAAAGTTGTTATACTTCATCAATGTGCAAATTGAATGCTAGTCAAGTAGCCATTTTTACCGAGCACGGTTTCCACAGGAGATTACAAATAAGTGCATTCACATGTACTCTGCAGTGTGCCTGCGTTTATTGTCCTATGCATCTTATCTAATGATTTAATTCGTGCTGTAGACCGATGTAGTTTAATTCCATACCAACACGCTTCTGGGAAAGGGGCTCACCAAACCAATTTTACTCTGCATATGAACTGCCCTTAGTCTAGCAGTGTCGCATCTCTCGGGAAAATTTAGCTTAACGACCAATTTATCTGGATTGTTAACGTAAAAGTATTCTTTCACCGAATCCTAGAATAAGAAGCGTCACAACAGATTTATTGACTTCGCCCCTAAGGTGATTGGGTAGTTGTGAGGCAACAGGAAGCGGGCATTGTTTAAGGACGAGAGAGATGCAGCATCATTTTGCGATTTCGAATTTCCCCGGGTCATAGATTATTCAATAATAACAATGCGATCGCGGCCGTTGCCACCAACCTTTATTGACGCACTGGAAATAACAAGAGCGAGAACCCATATGACAAGCTTTTTCGTTCTGGACAGAACAGATGCACAAAAAATATCCCTTATGCTGGAAACTATCAAGTTTCGCATGATTCGTTTGCATTCAGCTCTACTTTGACCAAACAGAAACTCCCCAGTTAGCTATTATGCAGGCAGGATGGCCCGCAGACATTTCCATCTCTAGGATGTGCAAATTATCTTGCGAGGACATATGTTACTTCCCGTGGGGTGTACGGAAGCAAAGGAAGGATTGTTGTCGAAACAACCACTTTACTGTCACAACCAGCTAGTTCTCTGTCCTTACTTCGTCAAAATATAACTTGTTATGATAAGGCAGGGAACGTTCGGGAGCATGCCTACCTCGGGTATAAGATCGGCTTGCCGCCGTCGAGAATGTTAGATCGAATGTATCCACACGACAGTCCAAACGTCGCAACCGACGATGTCTACCGTGTGCCTCAGAGCGGATTGAAGCAGGCACGGTGAATTAGTTTATAGTGGCGGTAGACTTCCCTAGAATATACCGCACATTCTCCCATTCCCTCACCTCGGCCGGGTCGTAAGACAGCGTCAGGAAAACTGGAAGTAAGGGAAGACGCAGGTGAATGACAAGATCAGATCCGCAAATAGGCGTACCAGTCCATACCCCCTGATCCACATAATCATTTGGCCGGGATTTTTGCCGAAGCAAGAGTGGGCGGAAGAGACTCAGGTATCTAAATTGACGCATCTATTTAACTTTTCGAATGTAGCCTCTATTCGCAACATACTTCCTGTGGACTTCCATTTAATGTCCTCATTCAGGCCTTTTCTCACTTTCTGTTATCGTACAAATGCGTCTCTTGCCCTTCTCGAAATCTAGGAAGGTAGGATATCTGGTTTTAGATCGTACAGTCGTATGCGTGGGCGCTAAGATGCCTTTACGTGGTTGTTCTATGGGCAAGAAGCCTGCATTCCAGAAAGCCCAACGTGCATTTACCGACATTTTAAACAAAAGCAGATTTGAAGAGAAGAGTATTTGGGAGATTGGATTTCGTGAAGACCATGCGGAAGAGCGTGTTTGTTTCAATCTGCAGTGTTTGCTCGGGAAATCCTAGTTGAAATGTCGATGCTCGCATTCATTAATGGGCAGACGTGCTGTTGGAAATAGAACTGCATCAACCCCTGACAGCATACCGGAACGGTCGAACAAAGGCACCAATTCGTAACGTGTGGAATGTCGAAATTCTGTCCTCGTCTGGAAATATTCGTGAGCAGTTCACCGCAGCAAACAACCATCACGTAGATCGCAGTTGCGTCAATGACTCCGGTCGGCTGGCGTCTTGTCGTATTAGCAATCCTCCTCTATTAACTAGCGTGTGTTTCTTTGAGCACTTGTATGCCTGCATTGCAAATGCCAGTGAGTTTCAGAGACCAAAGATTGAAATAGGCCTAGTCATAGTTATATGATATTTTAGATATTCAAATGACCTCAGATGATATATGTTGCGCACTTCTCCCTGTGTGTCTAGCGTCGGCACTGCAGCAACCGACGGAGAATTCGCATACAGAAGACAAAGTGGCGAATTCAACCGATTCGCACTGGGATCTAACACTGGACGAAGGTAGGCATTAATATACTTTCTGTACACTCACCTCAACTGGGCACTTTATCTGCGACCGCTAAAATACCATAGTTAAAGGGCAAACTCAAAAGTAACAAAATCAAATGATTAGCCAACGAGGTCACATCCGGAGAATATTACTATTGGCATATTTTCGGAGCAGGTTGACTTGAGTACATTTTTGAATCCAGGAGGTACACAGCCATTTGCAGTTTTGTGCTATAAAAAGAGTACTTGCATGTTTTAAGTAACGTTGTTTTCAAAGATAAAAGTTCTGGGGTCACTCGCATAGTCAGGCTGTCGAGGGAAAACTGGGGACATAAATAATCATCCGACCGTTTCATGCAGAGTCGGAGGGATTCCGCCTCCACGACTGATCGTGGGAGATCATTCCACTTCTCAACCACTGTTTGTGTAAAACATTCAGAGCGGAGGTTCATCCTGGAGATTTTTATGCACAGCCTCATCGAGTGGCCACAAAGATTGGGCGAGTGGCGCCACCGAAACATGCCCTCAAAGTTCAGCCATACTCAAGGCCACGTATTATCTGATAAACCAGAATATGATCCCCGGTTTGCTGCCCGTAACACAGAGGGAATAAATTAAGGCACTTCATTGTTTCCGTATAAGATTCTCTTTGCCAACTTTGCTGCAAAGCGTCGTACTTTTTGAGGCATTTTTGGTCATTCGCTAACCATGAACTACCATTAACATAATGCCTGGAAATTGAGTCGCTGGTAAGTCACTTTGACAGCCCAGAGGTTGGATGCAGAATCAACAGTCAGACAGCAAACAATGGCATAAAGACCTGCTACAAGTGACAGAATATTCATCGGTGCCCTGCAGCATACCATGTCAAAACTGTGATGCAAGGTGTTTTGGTGAAACAGGAAAACGCATCGGCACAGGACTGCACGAACATCGGCTCACAGTCAACCGTAAGGACATACCATATATGGTTTATGGCTCTGTACGACAGAAAAAACCACAATTTCGACTTAAGGTAAGAAAGTATAATCGGCCAATGTCCGAGCTCGTTGAAATACACATAGGGGCAGCACCAACTACAGGGGGCGCACAAACTGACGACTTCAATGCGCCACCAGGCTTTTCACTTGAAGGATAGGGTTATGCATTTAGACTAATAAGTCATCTATGATATCCTATGTGTCACCCGGACTAGAATGACCATTTCTGGCTTATCAGCCGTCATCAAACAATCATTCCTTACCCCAAGTGGGTATCACTTGCGATTGGAACGCGGCATCTACCATTGGGTCACGGGCCGCTGTTCGGTCGGTTGTGATCGGGAATATCAATCATAACAGACAGTTTCTACAAGACAATGTTTCCCCGGATGACATTGAAGCAAGTATAGACAGCAAAATTTATTGGCATCGTCGCGAACTTTATTAATTCTTTGGAATTCTGCTGTCTAGGCTTGAGTTAAAGACTCTGTCTACGTCATGCGCGGCTGTGCGGTTGCTGGTGAAGCTCTTAAGGGAGTCCGTAAGGCGCAACGAAAGAAATGCGTTCCGTAAGAACGATCGGTGAGCGCCACTTCACCAATGCACATTCTTATCGAAGCCGACAGGGCAAAGAGCCCGTAGCTCAGTGATAAGAAGCGTTGGAGATCTAACTGACAGGTCGCAGGTTCGAACCCCAGCTGTTTCACACTTCGGCGTTGGGTATGACTGGCTGACGACTGCTACTAAGCCAGAACTGGCCATCCCAGTCTTCCTTGTCGTTGTCGGTAATGATACTCTGCATACATATATTTAAGGCTTTTGATTTGGATTTACGCCTCGTCCTCTCAAAAGAGAAGTATTGGTACTTCCTGACGACACATAAATTATACTAATAAATGTTAATGTTATATCCACTGTCAGTGGGAGGACGGTGTTTATTGAGGTTGCTGGAACGCCTTCCAATTTTCTTTGCAGAAGACCTAGTTCCAAGGGATTTTACGGCAACTACTGTGAGCTTTCACTCTATCATTGTGTCATGGGAGGCGCCCCGTCATTCGAACGAGCTCAATGGTCTATACGAACTTACGGTGTACAACGAAACGCATGAGGAGAATTCCTACCTGTGGGCTACCAAGGACACATTTGCTGACCTAGAACCCTCCACCACTTACAACTTCACAGTACAGGCATTTTGGAAAAATGACACACCGGTCGGTGTTGTCGCTGTAACTTCTGCGAGAACAATGCCCAGTGGTAATCCACAACCCAAATGCATCCACATTACGTGTATTCGACCTTATGCTTTTATTCGTGCTGCAGCTCCGTTTAAGTTGCTCTCGTGAAACACTATTCTGAGAACGGAAGCCAACTTGAACGCTAATAATTCACATTAAAACCCCTTTTAGTCTTTCATTGGCATGTTAGGATACAATTTAGCATAAACTTCAACGAAACCTAAAATATGGTGCAACCATAGACGAGTTGCATACTGACTGTTGCACCGACCACACCTAGAATGTCAGTCGATTCCTTAGTTGTTTGCACCGCTGGAGGCCAGCAGCAAGTGCAATTTGTACGATGACGTAATAAGCAGTATCTCCTTATAATTTCCATGAGGCCTGGACCAATGAGATTTCATCGACCTGTTTGACAACCACAATAGTTGACAATAATTACACCGACCAGTCTTCCCGTTTGAGATGGCTTAATTCCCGCTCAATCTGTTAGCATATTTGTGGTTTATGGAAGACTGTCGATTTAAGGATGTCATTTTATTGTGAGAAATATCATCGAACAGTCTTTCAGGGGAATCTCACTTTCCTTATTTTCAGATATACGGCCTCGCAATGCATTCCTACCAGGTAGTATACAAGTTTCCGCATCAAACAGCCCCGACTCACTGACATCTCACAATCCCACCAGTGCTGCCAACACTAAAAAGTTTTTATATATTTTTATGGCTGCAATGCATTTATGTCCCTACAATTAATTAACTTTCCATAGCAATTTCTTCTTCCTTGAAATGAATGTATTCGCTTATGATATTCCACATAAAACAATGAGAATGTTTTCGGAATTCATATTTGTCACTTGCTATTTTGTTGTACCACATAATATGAATATTGCTTAGAAAAACATCTTTTTATCTACAGTGTACTGATGATAAATGTTGAAGTCAAGGTAGATCTGCAATGCCTGCTTGATCAATACAGTGCACCCAGCTTCTTTGTCCGAAATTAATAATGGTTCAAACATATATTCCGTATCAGAGGAATTATATTTTGCGTTCAGTTCCAACTATGTAATTCCTGTTTTTAATTTAGTAAATAACGTTTTTATAAAGGTGCTTGTCAGCGTAAGAAGCCCCACCCATAGTTTACGAACTGAGCCTTATTATAACGTCGCGTTGATTTCCCAGGGCTTTCTGAAACACAGGATTACTTGCGTAGTGGGGTCGATTCTGAGAGAGAACAGAGCCCTGACGTATGCTGAGTCGTCAGGGAAAAAATTTTTGTCAGGTCCCCTCACACGGACCTTTGCGCATCGACTGTTACAGCGGTATTGACTTAAACACACTACTTGGTGGGACACATATTTGTTTTGTCATTGCTGTAAGATGAAGCACATAATAAAACATTTCCCTGGTGTTCAAAAACCGCAATAGTTCTTGCTTATTCGCAAACATGCTGACAGCTAGATTATTGCCAGAAACAACTGTAAATAGAAAAGAAGCAAATGCGCGGACGTGATATTTCGCCAAAACGATTTTCCAGCTCATCTTAGGCACAGCGAGACGAGACATCTATTGCTCGTTTCCGTCAGAAGTCCGGGTAATCGTCGCAGAAAACGCCGGTGCACAAAATCAGTACCATTTACTAGGAGGTTTAACGTCGCATATGCTTACTTTAGATTCAAATTTCTTACCAATAAATGAACCTCTCCCCGAAAACGTTGAAGTCTAATTCTAGGCATGGTCATGATTTACACTTTTCTAGATTTTAACAAATGTAATTAAGGTGAGTGCCAGATTTAAAAACAAACCTCTACTCTCATTTCTAGGAGAGCTGTATTTATTCACTGAATCATAACCTTAAATCAAAGGGATAAAAGGGTAGGTGCAGTCAGAACGGGGCATTTTAAAACCGATTTTCGATGACGGAATCGACAAGAACTATCACCATGATGTGTGACATTTAGCTCGTTCAACCTGGTTTTACCAAAATTGAGGTAGGTGGAACTAACTGGACCAGACCACGCGTCGCTGTGGTTCAATCTGATGAAATGATGAAAAAGAAAAGAGAAAGTAGGCACGCTCCTAATATGTTTCATTACATAATGCCTCTGGGTATACAACATGCTTGTTAAGTCGTCTGAGCAGATATAGAAACTGCCTGGTTTGCCGACTCTGGAGAACGTAACATACACTCGACCATGTGAAAAACAATCCGTTTACAGATTCAAACCACACCATTGTAAATACTGACCCTGAGATTTTTGATAGTGATTGCAATTGTTATAATAACATTTCAGCTGATCGGTCATGTTGCCGCTGGAACACGCATATTTGTATTTACTTGTAATGCCTGAACGTGGCGCCACAACGAGAGTATATCAGGTAGGCATTAATTTTGTCGGCTGGTCTCGATCGAGGAATAACAGGCAGTGTTTGCTTGAAGTCTCCTTCAAACAGTGGCAGTGCATCCCCAGTTGATCCGCTGTTTTGTCGCGAATATTTCACTATTCGGTCAAAGCCTCGAGAGGTTTCTGTGCGCCATTGTGCATGCCCCGCAAACAGTGAGTTTGCAGTAAGTTTACCATGCCGGATGCCTCGAGAATGTTGCACGCAGGAGTTTCCATGGGATTTTCAAAGCCGAATCAGCAGTTC